GCTTCCCTCTTCAGTTCTTCGGCCGACTCGGTGACCTTTGCATTGGCGGTCAATGCCTCCTTCAACGTCACCTCAGCCTCCTTAAGCCGCCCCTGCAACCTCTCCTCGGAGACAACCGACCTCATCATAACATGCTTAGCAATTAGGGAGGACGTTTGGCACAAGGAAATTCGAACCGGCCACGACCACCGAGGTTAGCAAAACCGACTACACTAGGAACATGCACACTACTACTAGCGGTCGGAAGCAACATCTGCCACTCCACGCCGAGAACCACAACCCTATACAATTAAAACGTCTTCGTCTTTCCCATCCTCGACGCTGCGGGGGTTGTATACCGTATGGTGGCTGACTAGGCCGAATACCCGAGTTCGTGGCCGACTAGGCCGAATACCTGAGTTCATGGCCGACTAGGCCGAATACCCGAGTTCTTAGCCGACTAGGCCGAATACCCGAGTTCGTGGACGACCAGATCGAATACCCGAGCCCACCGACCACTCACAATCTGAACGGAACGTGTCGGTGTGCTCGATCAAGTCACGAATTTACACCAGGATAATTATGGAGAGGTTAATTTATGTAATGCACCGGATTAGCCCCCTAATTTCCCGGGCCCAGTCCTTAATCGCGGCCCAATAAGAATTACTATAAATAGGACCCTAGCGAGGTACGTAACTAACTTTCAACTACCACATTTATTACGCCGAGCACTTACTTGAGCGTTGGAGTGTCTTTGCAGGCACACCCCCCCTCACATCGGACTACCCGGATAGGAACGAGAAGACCGAGACCCAGGATCAGACTCGCTACAGCAAGGATAAGTGAAGTGTGTATCCTAACACAGGAACAATATACTAATAACTTTGTTAAAAACACATAAATTAAGAAAAATAATTATTCTCTTCAATTTTATTACACATATTTATAATTTCTTAATATTTGTCTTTTTTTTTAAATCTCTTATGACATTTTATATACCATTGTTTTTCCTTCTTTTCTTACGAGGATGAAATTGACAAAATGATGATAAATGCCATAAGAAAATTATTATATAGTGACACATATCCTATAACGACACAATACGTGTTACTAAAAATTACTTTTATTCACACAATAAATATAATATATATTGATATATTGTTAAAAGGTGTAGGTATAGACTATAGTGACACATAAAATATGTCGTTAAATATCATTTAAAATCAATATTAAAAATTATATGTAATTATATGTCAAATAAAAATATATATATATATATATACACATATATTGTATTTATAGTGACATTTTTTGTATGTCACTATATGTAATATTTCTTGTAGTGTTTTAAAATTTTAAAATAAAAAATAAAGAAAAATATTTGCTTTTTCTTTAAAAGTGGTGAAAAAAAATGCTAATTCTTAACTATTCTATATACACTTTAAAGGTCATATTAGGAAATTAAAAATAATATAAATAAAAATATTAATTTGTGTCATGTTTCAAAATAAGCAAATAAAAAAGAGGTGGCAGTATATAATTAATTAATATATAAATAACTTATTAAATAAAAACATGAGGCTTATATATTAATAATATTAATTATTATATTTTAAATAAAAAATAATTAGTATAATTTGGACAATGATTAAGAAAATAGTTTAATTTAATAAAATATATAAGAATGACACATCAGTTGTCCGATGATACATAAATATTACCAGAGTTCATTTATCGTTATCAGATACTCCTAAGTTGGATATATGATTGCAAGTGAAAAAATATAAAATTGGAATGCTAAATCTTGCCAGCAAATTAGCGACATGATCTTAACGTACGACGGCGGTGCACGTGTGAAAGGGATTATGACCATTATATTATTCCAAAATCATGTGTGAAAGTAGATTGATAGTGTCAGATGTAAAATGAAGTCTACAGCTTCTGACCGTTAACCTTTTGCGGCATTACCTGTTATAAAACAAGAAACTGATTTGTAGTATTTGGAAATCCTTAGCTAATTTTATACTATTCTTTAATCAATGCATATAAACTTATCATGGATGTTCTTTGTTCTTAGTTTTTTCCCCCCTTCCAAATTAAAGAGGCCGAAGAAAGAAAAGTACACAAAATGGTATGCTCATTAATTAACAAAACTAACTTTGACACTACATCCGTAGAATTAATTAAATGAATAGTAGTAACTTAATTAGCACATGTTGATGCTTTGAAGAAACGAATTTTCCTCGTTTTCATGCAAGTACGGCTTTCTCCTTTGGATTGGCCTTAATTAGGGAGCAGTTGTAACCAACATCCTTGGAAAATAAGTACTGTAACTACTTTAATTAGACGTTGCTTGGGAAAAATTAGAATTAAGGGAAAACAAAACAAAATGAAAACGTAATAAACTAGTTAAATATATTGAATTATTGAGTATAAAAACTGTGGACTGGTAGCGATAGTTAAGAACCAATAATTTGTCAGCAAATTAATGAAGTTGATGATGAACATGTTATACATGTGGGCTCTATACCACTTAGTCAATGAGGTAATATCAATTATACAGTATTATAAAAGAAAAATGTGGCTTTGGAATTAAAAGATCTACTTGCCTTCATTAACCCTTTGCAAGTGTGTCACTGTGCATGATGCTTCTATATCTGTTACTATCCCCGTCATCCATAA